TTGCACCATGCCGTAGGCAGATAGGAGAAGGCCTAGCCACATATGAGACTGCAAGGGCAAACATGGCCCAATTATTGCAAAGTCTGGAGCGAGGGGCGAAAAATCTGAACAACTTGTACCGTAAGCTGGTGAGGACTTGCCAGTTTGCATGTGGGAGTGCAGAGGCGGTGGCAAGTCAAAGTGGGCACGATCTGGTGCGGAGGGCGTCAGCTCAAGACAAGCAATGCCATACGCGAACGGAGGGCTGCCACACTGTGCAAGGGCCCTCAGAAATGGAAGGGGCTCTGAGTGCACGAGGTCCGGAAGTGATGAGAATAGGCCAAGGCAGCACATACCAAACACAAGCAGTATGAGGCCCAGGCAGGCAAGAGTCTTTGCCAGCATGAAGCTGCCAGCATGCACGGGGTCCAGCACAGGTAAAGGACTGTCCAGCCTGGACAGGCCGAATGCGAGGGGTGCAAAGCCCGTCCTCAAGAAGGTCTTCAGCGGCGGACTCGAGCCTGAGTGGACAAGGTCCGAGGCAAGGAGCGACAGGCCGAGCTGGGCCATCCCGTACACGAGGATTGCCAGCTCCAAGCGCATATGGCTTCTAAGAGACAGGGAGGGGCCTGAGTGCAGGAGATCTGGGACGGGAGGCGGCGAACCTAGTCTGCAGACTCCAGAGACCAGCAACGTCGGCCCTGCTCATGCAAGCGTGCGAGGCAGTGACGGTGGCCCAGTGTGCACAGGGTCTAGGGTTGACAGTAGGGGCTCTGGTAGGCTCATGCCAGATGCCAACAAAAAGCTTTCAAGTCAAAGGAAGCTTTGCAGTAGCAGCAGCGAGCCAAACAGAGAGGAATCCGGAGCAAACAACAATGGCTCCGATTGGCTTAGACCGTACGCCAGCAAGGCGGATCCGATGCGAGCAGGCGTGCGTGTGGACAGCAAGAATTCGGCCTGAGCGAAGTCCGGCGCAGAGGGTGACGGGCCGGGCCACCCGATGCCATAGACCGATAACACGCTGTCAATTTGCATGAAAGTCCGCAGCAAGAGCGACAAGTCTGAGTGCACGGGGTCCAGAACCAATGGAAAGAAGCCCATCCTAGCCACTCCAGAAGCCAGCGGCAAGCTTCCTGGTCTGAAGTAGGCCTGCAGCAGAAGGGAAAGGTCTATCTTCACGAGGTCTAG